TCCTGACCTTAACAGTTCTCTCCTTCTGATAAGAATAATCTATCTACTTGGCCTCAGAAAACAGATCAATCTTGATCTTTCTTATGCTAAATGAGTAATGACCTCCCCGCTTTCATTTTTGGCCGGACTTGCATTTTGCTAAGGCCAGCCACCCTATTTATCCTCATCAAGTTAGTGAGGCAGCACATCAATTCATTAGTCTTACTTATCTACTACAGAAGGAAGAGAAATGGTTTACAAAACCTCACCAGCTGGGAAGAGGCCCAGTAGCCAGAAGCAATCCCCATCTCAGAAGCCTCCAAGCCTCCTTGTCTGAAAGAAGAGCAGCTGGCTGCCAGCACCGCCTACAGGCAGCCGGGATTGTCCTCCAGAGCAGAAGGCAGTGCGGGCGTGGGAGGCTGCGCGTGCCAACACCCCTTCTGCTGTGCATCTCTCAGCAGAGCTGCTGTGGGGCCCCCAGCCTGCTGAGTGTCTCCGCCAGTCACTCAGTCTTTTTGCTGGCAGCAGCCGTCGGAGGAAGGTTCCATGCAAAGGCAGAGCCCCGTGTTCCCCAGGGTCTCTCCTAGCAGGGAGAGGCCAGAGGGATGCTTGTTCCAGTCCTCGGGCTGGATGCCTTCTGTCTTCTCTCTGGTAAATTCAATCCAGCTCCCCAGAGACCACATGTCCCCCAGGCTAGGGGCAGCTGTATCAGCCATCTAGCCTGGGGCAGCCTACAAGGGTCCCTCATTGCAGGGGGCAGGCTCCAGGTTGATCCCTGACACTCTACTGACAGCCTCTTTCTCTGAAACCCTCAGGGACCCCAGCGTTTTGCTCAACCCCTGCTCTGAGTTCTCAGGCGGGACGTTTGCTATGTGACTGGCTGTCAGCAACTTGTCACGTTGCATCTGGGGATGCTGGTACCCACACCCGAATCCATCCCTCTGTGTATTACAGCCAGTGCACCATGAGGGCGGGTCCTGCTCCAACCCAAGAGTGTGCTTGGCGCCCTTAGACTCCATTTCCCTCTATTCCAGCTTTGTCACTGTGGTGGTGATGGGGTGGGAGGCACGTGGTGCTGGGATGAGCCCAGGAAACACACATATGCAAGGCATGTGCTTCACCTCTTGAGCCCCATCACCAACTCCTCTTCTCTCTCTCTCTCTCTCTCTCTCTCTCTCTCTCTCTCTCTCTCTCTCTCTCTCTCTCGATTCAAGCAAAGCAATGTGGGGTGTGGCCCCGTAATATTTTACAAAAACCACTCACACTCTTGAAAGCCAATGATACCTCAGTCAATTTAGAAATATGTGTACAGACACGCCATAGAGATGCCTCCAGACCCCGCGCCAGTGTGTCTTACCTGGGGCAACTTAAAGGGGAACAGGTGAGTTTCCCTCTCTGCCCCAACAGAGTCCCAGCAGCTGAAAACCACCAGAACTCAGTTGCCACCATGCTCATGATCGCTCTCCACAGTCTCAGATGAGCCTCACACATGAGTGAAATTGCTGTAGAATTCCTGAAGCATGCAGCCACATTCGTGGTCACATGACACTCATACTCTATACCACTGATGTACCAAGAATAGCACACCACATTTGGTGGGGTTTAAAATAGAAGGCATGGCTGAAGTGATAGCACAGTGGGTAGGGTGTTTGCCTTACACAAAGTCGACCCAGGTTCAATTCTCAGCATCCCATATGATCCCCCAAGCACTGCCAAGAGTAATTCCTGAGTGCAGAGCCAGGAGTAACCCCTGAGCATTGCTGGGTGTGACCCAAAAAGCAAAACAAATTAAAAATAAAAAATTATTTAAAATAAAAATAATAATTTAAAAATGTGTGTGCATTTCTTGCAGGGAACTCTGTGTCTTGGGAGTCCCTGTGCTCTCCCATGTGACCTCAATCATCATGGCCCTGTACCATCACAGTCTTGGTACTGGGAAGGCATGAAGGACCCTCTCTGCCTTGCTGTCCCAGTCCATGGCCTCGGCTGGGAGCCTTTCCATTGCCCTGAAACAAAGTCGAGCTGCCTCCCTGTCTCCAGGCTTTCCCAAAGAAAGAGAAACCAAACCTGTCTCAATCTTCCCAGTGCTCTTGATGAAGCATAAAGAGGAATAAATGGACCAGAAGAATTGCATAGCTGGGAGGGCACTTGCCTTTCACACTGCTGACCTGGGTTCAATCCCTGGCAGCCCATGTGGTCCCCCGAGCACCACCAGGAGTCATTCCAGAGTGCAAAGACAGGAGTAAGCCCTGAGCATTGCTGAGTGTGGCCCAAAGAAAAGCCCAAAAAAAGAAAAAATAGAACCGGGAAAAAGTGCTGGTGTTGAAACCACGATGAGCCAAGCAAGGCAGGTGATTACCCCTGTACCATCTTTCCTCCCACTCTGCCCCATGTTCATTTCTGGACATGCCAAATTCTATTTCCTGGCATCCCCTTCTCACCCTCAAGGCACATTTCTATGGGAGATATTTACACTTGCATCTTCCTGAAACCCCTTGGATGTAACCCAAACCTCCTCTGCAGTCTTTCACACCAACTGCCCACCTCTCTGCTTGCTTGCCCCTTCAGAGCACTGATTGGGAGACCCCTCCCAAGTAAAATGTGTGAGTTATGGGTGTGCATATATAAATATAGACCTGACAACATCATTGTCCTCCCGTTGTTCATTTATTTGCTCGAGCAGGCCCAGTAACGTCTCCATTGTGAGACTTTGTTGTTACTGTGTATGGCATATTAAATACACCATGGGGAGCTTGCCAGGCTTTGCTGTGTGGGTGAGATACTCTCAGTAGCTTGTCGGGCTCTCCAAGAGGGGCATAGGAATCGAACCCAGCTCAGCCCGGCCGGCCGTGTGCAAGGCAAACGCCCTACCGCTGTGCAATCACTCCAGCCTAAATATACCTATAAACTCTAAATGCATAGGGGCCAAAGAGATAATACAGCAGGTAAGGCATTTGCATTACACACAGCCAATCCAGGTTCAATCCTCCACACCCCATATGGTCCCTCAAATTCCACCAGGAGTGACCTCTGAGCATTTCTCGGTGTGGCCTCCCAAAAATTTTAAATAAATGTATATACCATATCATAAATAGACGTGTTCATATACATGTCAGCACAACTATCTACTCACATTTTTTGTGGTTCTTTACAGACAGAGGAACCCTAAGGGGAAGATGGTGGTGGGCCTTGTTAAGTGACTGTGTAATTTGAGTCAGGTAAGTGAGTCGGATCAGGGTACGACCTGAGAGTGGTAGGCTCCCCAGGCCTCAACCCACACGCTCTGCCTGACAGCCCCTCCAGGGCAGCTGTGGGTTCAAGAATGTACACAGGGCACAGAGAGGCTCAGAAGCACTGAAGAGGCCACACAGCATGGAGACACCCTCCACGCACCCGCAGTGCAGCTGGAGGCGGCAGCTCTGGATTCAGGACCTGCTTCCAACCATCTGGAAGGTCTCGAGAGCCTTAGCTCATCTTCTCAGCTATGCCATGGGGCTCCCGGGTGTCTAGTGAGGTTCTGTTGGGGCCTGGACACTGTCCCGGGCCTCAGGGTACATAGGAGTCTGATGGATGCCACGGCCACAGAGCCAATGGTGACCACCAGGTTCTCTGCACACCAGCTGCTCCAAGCCAATTTATGCTCGTGAGCTCCTCCACCCACAGCATCCTTATCAAGCTGGCCATCGGGGCTGCACACAGGTGTTGGTCAGCTGCAAGGCCCATGTCCGATAGGATGGAGTGGGAGCAAGCAAAGAGAGAAGCTACCACACCAAGTAGAGGGGAAAGAGCTTCAAGGTCTAGAAAGATTCCTGCAGTGTCCACTAGGTGGAGTCACACTTCTGCATCGAGAGTTGTTCAACCGCGGGGAGTGGGAAAAGAGGAGGAATCCAGCATGGAAGTGGGGGGTGGAGGAGACGCATCCAATCCCGAGAGACCTTAATTAAAATCAAACACACCGGGCGGGATGTGGAGGGGGCGGGATAACAAAGAAGAAAACACATATTCACACACACACTCTACACACAGACACACACACACACACCCTCTCTCTTTCTCTCTCCACACACATACACACTATCCACAGACACACACACACCCTCTCTCTCCGCACACACACCCCTCTCACACACACAACAAACATACTCTCTACACACACACCCTCACACACAACACATAAACCCTCTTTACATACACACCCCTCACACACACCACAGACCCTCTCTCTCCACACACACAATACACACAGCCTCTCTACACACCAGCCTTTCTACGCACACAACACACACAGTCTACACACACACCCTCTCTACACACAATACACACAACACACTCTACACACACCCCTCACACACAAAACACACACTCTACACACACCAACACATATACATACACTACACACAACACACACACCCTCTTTACACACACCCCCCTCACACACATCCTCTCTACACACACCAACACACACGTACACACACCACACATACACTGCACACACACACTCTAGATACACACACACCATCTCTCCACACACACACCCCTCAGACACACAACACACACATCCCCTCTCTACACACACACTCCTCAGACACACACAATGCACATCCTCTCTACACACACACAGCACACACCCTCTCTACACATACCCCTCACACACAACACACACACACACACACACACACACACACACACCCCTCCCTCTGGGTTGTCAGCTTGAAGTCTGCAGAACTACAGATAAAAGAAAGGGGGTCGGGAATTTGCTCTTGGACCCTCACAGCTCCCATCATCACTAGCTTTTCTCTTACTTAACTTTGCTTCTTGCAGGCACCAAGCCCACAAACAGCAGGACAGAGATCAGCCCGGCCCCACCCACTACTCCACCCGCCCCCTCCCGGCTCATTCTCCCCGCCCCCTTCCCCGCCCCTTCCCCGCCCCCTTCCCGCCGGCGCCTCCAAATGACGTCAGTGCGGAGGCGCCGGAAGCGGCGCCCGCGCGTGCGTAGTGCTCAGCAGCCGGCCCTGGGAGCTGCGGGAGCGTGTTCTGTGCCGTCTGCCGCGGGGCGTCCCTGGGCTGTCACCATGAACCGCAGCCGCCAGGTTACCTGCGTGTCCTGGGTCCGCCGCGGCGTGGCCAAGGAAACGCCCGACAAGGTGAGGCCCGTCGGCGGGGGCGCGGCTTTTAGCACGTGGCGGGCCCGGGCCGCGCCTCCTGGCCGCCCCCTTCTCCGACCCGCACCTGTGGCCCCGGCTGGAGAGGGTGGCGGAGCCGGGCCGGAGGCGGCTGGCCCTGTGCTTGCAGGGGTCCGAGGGAGCTGTGGAGTTGGCGGTATGGGATCCGGGAGGTCCCTGTGACACCTCGGGAGGAAAACCCTGCAAGAGATGGAGACCCCGAGCCAGGGCCCTGGGGGGACGGCGGGGCTTCCTGCGCCCGGGTGATCGCCCCAGGAGGCCTGAGCCCTCCAGGATGACTGATTTGCCGCGGGGCTGTGCCTCAGAGGGTGTAAATGTGCTCCCCGAGGAGGCCTGAGCCAGCCGGACAGCTGACGCGTGCGGGGCTGTCAGGGAATGGAATCAATGCCACGAGGACTGACTGCCGTGTGATGACGTAGTCACCCGCGTCTCTTGGTTGTCTGACGTATACAGTGGGTGTATAGATGGGAACAGGACATTGTCTAGCTTGCCAAAGTACTGGGGGGCAGAGAGGGGGGGGGGATGAAGGGAGGGGAGAGGGGGAGAGGGAGAATGAAAGAATGAATGCAGGGCACACGCTTAGGGTTTGGTCCCATGGCACAGAGAGTCTGGGTAGTCCCAAAGCACCTGTGGGCTTGGCAGGGGAAGGTGGGGGGGGGGCCTGGAGAAACCGAACAAAATGTTGAAGAAAGTGAGACTTCTTAAGGCTCAAGTTTGGAACCACTGCCGGGGAGCTACAAAAAAAAAAAAAATGCTGCTGCTGTGCTCCCACTGCCGAGTACTCTTGACTTAATCCGGAGCGTTGCCTGAAACCGTAAAAAAGAGTCTCCCGGAGGATGCTCTTGTATAGGCAACTCTGAGGACCACTGCTTGAATAGTGTATGGGAAGAAGAGATTGAGTTTATTCGGGAGTTGCAGAAAGCCAGCAGAGTTACCACAGTTTCTGGAATTGTGCAGAGATGGATTGTTACCTGTCAAGGATTTCCATATCGTTTGAGGCCAGTTTTCATTCCGGGGGTGATTGAGTCACTCATCTCTACCATGAATCTATGGTTGGTTTTTGTCGCTGAGGAGTTTCCTTCCCCCCAACACACACACATACCCCGAATGGATGGAACCACCCACCTAGCTCTGCTCAGGGCTCCCTCCTGGGGGTTCTTGGGGATCACATGCCATGCCAGAGATGGAGCCCAGGTCAGCTGCATGCCAGACAAGTGCATTATCAGCTGTGCTCACTCTCTGGCCAGAAAGGAGATATTTTGGAATGATCATGTCAGCGGTGGTCATTTTAGTCTTGAGACTGACTGGATTTTACACAGCCATAGCTGCCTCAGGAGAGCCCTGGGCGTGGCACTAAGAAAAATAGAGGCGCAGGGTCACAGCAGTTTGTTTCAGAATCCCCACGGGGAGCCCAGAGGAAAGCAGTTCCCAGACGCCTTAACCCCTGTCCAGTCTCTCAGGCCCTCAATCAATGGTAACACCTAGCTGACTCGTGGAATTTATACCTGTCGTTGTTGTCTGTGATATTAGTGGACTCAGGATGACATATCATGGTGGTATTTGTGTTGGTTTTGATGTTAGTGTTTTAAAACCTAAAGTCCCTCTACCGTGTTGCTTGGGCCCTCTGTACCCATCTTCTCAAGCCAGCCCTCCCTGTGGTCCTGATCTCGACCTTGGGTGTTGCACCTCATGCAGCCCTCTGTGGTGCCCCTGGAGTTTTTACTAAATATGTTTTTATTTTATTAGAAGAAAATGAGATCAGCTCTCATTAAAGCCAGGTGACTCAAATCTGTTTTGTGCCAGGAGACAGTCTAATGTGATTTTTGAACACGGTTCTTATTTGTAGGGGTCTGTGAAACGAACAAGAGAATTTGGGTCGATGTGAATCTTTTTCTGGGGGTTGGAGTCCCACATGGAGGTGATTGGGGGGGGCACCATGTGCTGGGACCTCACCCGGCCCTCACATAGATAGGCACGGCATCTGCAGGGCTCTGAGTTCCCTCCTGGCCCTGCTCTGTGGATCTTGGGGGGGTCTCTTGAAGTTCAGTTTCACATTAGCTTGTAAGCATCTTTTATTTAGGGGTGATGGGTTATACCTGACAGTGCTCGGGGCTTACTCCTGGCCGCGCACTCAGGGATCACTCCTGGCAAGGCTCTGGGGGACCATATGTGGTGCCAGGGATAGAACTTAGATCGACTGTATGCAAGTAAGCACCTTGAGCCCTTTGCTAGCTCTCCTGCACCTATAAACCAGTGAAGATTGGTCATTGTTTCCTTACATGCATTATAACAAAACACTTTTCTCTTCTCAGGTAGAGCTAAGTAAAGAAGAAATAAAACGTCTCATTGCTGAAGCAAAGGAAAAATTAGAGTGAGTTCTGGAAGGCTGCTGTTGGTAGTAAAGTCCAGATAACTAGGCGGGATGAGGGTGGGGATCCCCTTTAACTGAATGGTGCCATCTGGGTGACTGTCTCTTCCTCTTCAAACCCGTAGAGAAGCTGGGAGCGATGACGAGGAAGTGGGGGAGCCGGCGGACAGCGACATGCAGAGTGCCCGTGCCGAGCCGCGGCCCCAGGAGCCGGAGGATGGAGACCCGGAGGATGACAGGACACTGGAGGATGATGAGCTGGCCGAGTACGATTTAGATAAATATGACGACGATGGTGACCCAGGTCAGAGTGCAACTCCAGTCGGGTCGGGAGGCACAACAGTTCCTAGATGGGTTTAGAAAACAAGCGTGAATCCACTAACCTGAGGTATCGGAGTCCGTTTCCTGATAGTGAAGTGTGAGAAGCTAAAGGTATAGCTTTTCTTGACACTCAGAGTATCTCCCTGGGCTGGATAGAGAACAATGAATAAGGCATTTGCCTGGCATGCGGCAGACCCATGTTCCATCCCCAAAACCTCAAGTGGTTGGTCCCCTGAGAGGTTTCTGAGCACTGAGCCAGGAGAAAGCCCCGAGCACCACCAGTTGTGACCTGAAAACAAAAAGCATCTTCCTTTTCATGGGTTTTACAGTATTCAGGCTACTCCGTGCCATCAATGCGTGCAGCGATGCCACCTTTCACCCTCAGCACCACATGATTCCCTCGAGTACCACCAGGTGTCACTCCTGGGCCAGGAATAGCTCCTAAGAACCACTGGGTATGACCCCCCCCTCCACCACTCCCACCCCCCACCCCCCCAAAAAAAACACTCACAAACTTCCAGGCCACAAAAGTAGTACAAAAAACAAGAACTTTGAAGTGTGCCTAGTGAAAAGGAACCCTTTATCTCCACTCTTGGTTCATGGCACACATTAGTGCCGCAGCAGAGAAACACGCTTAATTCTGTGAAGCTATCAGTTGTTCACACTGACTTGGCCATATGGCCCTTGTCTTTTCTGTGTCGAGTTGGTGTTTTGCCAGAACCTCAGAGCTTCTGCCCTGTACACTTTTGAATAAGGGTTACAGGAACAAACCGGAGAACTTGTATTTTAAAATGGACAGGCTTGATGTTTGATTTCATTAATTGTATTTTATTTCATTGTTTTTTGGGCCACCCAGCGGGGCTCAGGGCTTACTCCTGGCTCTAGGCTCAAGGGATCACTCCTGGCAGTGCTTTGGGAACTATATGTGGCACCACGGATTAAATCTGGGTCAGCCACGTGCAAGGCAAGTGCCCTGCCCACCCTAGTGTCTCCAGCTCTTTGATTTAATCCTTAGCAGAAGGCTGAACTCTCCCTTTAGTGTCCATATGGATGATTGAGTTAATGAACTACTCAGTTGGATCTCAGTGAAAAATGACATACCTTGGGGGAAAATGGCGTTTGTTGAAGTTAGTTTCATTCACTTCAGTTTTTGAATTCTTAACAGATACCGAAACTCTTGGTGAGTCTCTCATGGGTCTCACGGTGTATGGGAGCAACGAGCAGGATCCTTACGTCACCCTGAAAGATACGGTGAGTATCTTTCACACGGCCTTTGCGGCTATGTTCCTCGGGTGTCTGGACGGTCCGACCCCGTTCCTGCTCTGGGCAGTGACGTTTCTCCTCTCTCTCCCCTTAGGAGCAATACGAGCAGGAAGATTTCGTGATCAAGCCCACTGACAACCTCGTGGTTTGTGGCAGAGCTGAACAGGACCAGTGCAATTTAGAGGTGCACAGTAAGTGAAATCTATCCCTTACGCTAAAGGCGTCTTTCTAAATGACAGCGAAGTAATAACCGTGGTAGTTGTCTCTTGTGAATTAGTAGGTACCAAGTCCTGCTAGAGGTAATTTTTCTTTCTCATGCTGTTTTGTGTCATCTTGATTTATTACCAGATAGACCTTTATAGTTAGGATCATAATGAAGAGCTCCTATGGTCGTGCATTTTGTGACGTGCGAGCCAGATGCTGGGCCCATTTTACCCAGTAAGTGTGTAGCTGGATATTCAGGCCAAGGCCAGTTCTTCCTGTTACTGTTCCCCTTTAGGCACACCAGGTGATGTTCTGTACTAGCTGTGCAGAATTTCTGCCTAGCCGTAATAACTCTGGAATCCCTTTCATGCCATCAGATAAGTTGCCCTTGAAGTGCATGGCTCCTTTGGGTTTAATAGAGTTTGTTTTTTTGCGTGAGTTGTGATTTCTTGTTGTGGTGCAATAAAATCTTTTCTCAATTTTTGCAGTTTACAATCAAGAAGAAGATTCTTTTTATGTGCACCACGATATACTGTTGTCTGCATATCCTCTGAGTGTCGAATGGCTGAATTTTGATCCTAGTCCAGATGACTCTACTGGTAATGAGAAAACCAAACTCTTGCGTGTGTTTTTTAGCATTGGACTGTTGCTTTCTGAAGTCAGGGGTCCTGTATTAAAATACACTCAGTTGGGGACAGGGATGCAGCTTAGAGTCGAGCATGTACCTTGCATGTGTGTAGCCCTGGGTTCAGTTACTATTACTGCGAACAAACAGCAATCACTTGGGCTGGAGTAGTAGTACAGCGGGTAAAGTGCCTGCCTTTCCTGCAGCCAACCTGAGCTCTACCCCTGGCATCCTATGTGGTTCCCTGAGCACCACCAGGAATAAGCCCTGAGTACTGTTAGGTGTGACCCCCCAAACAAACAAAAACCATAATCACTTAATTGGTAGGTCTGTATGTCTTCAAACTTTACATAGACTAAAGAAATAGCTTTATAAAAAATAAAGAGTAGTAGAAGTAGCTAGAAGCTCACTGGAGGCAGGGGAACTGCAGATCGATGTGAGGGTCTGATTAAAAAAAAAAATGACAGTATAAGGTAGGATTTTGTGTCTCGTATTATCAGCCAGTGTCAGCTACAGAAAACTCAGATAAGGTCTGGGGTATAGTTGATTGGTGGAGAACATGCCCTGCAGTGCAGAACTCTTGGTTGTCAGTCCCCAAAAGAAAAATAATTACGTTTTGATTTTGGTTTGGTTTGGGGGCCACACCCAGCGGTTCTCGGGGCTCTGCACTCAGGAAACACACTTTACAGTGCTTGGGGGAACATACATGGTGCTCAGGCTCGAACCCGAGTCTGCTGTGTGCAGGTCAAGCGCCCTCCCTGCCGTCCTAGCACTTGGACCTCGAAGACAGTAATTAGGTTTTTGCGTTGGCCTCTTTAGCCACAACGACAACACGATGAATTGCCGTGGTTCTCATCCTTAAGTCCAGGGGGCTGAGCTGGCAAGCCTCCTCCTTTGCACAGTTTCACTGTCTCAGTCTGAGCTGACCCTCCTTCCCAAAGCAACTCGTGAAGGCCGGAAGGCATGTCTCTCCTCCTCCTGACCTCTCTGAGGCCAGCAGCGGGGCACAGGGGGCACCTGAGGTCAGAGCGGCTTGGAAACGCAGACTGGGGGGCGGGGATGGAGCTTGGCAGAAATGCTGACCCCCTTGCCTGGGACCGGGGTTTCATCCCCAGCACCACAAAAGAAAATGAAAAGGACACTAGGGCCCGCCCACGATCTGCAATAGACTGCATTCAACCACGTGTCGGGGATACTGTGCCAGGCCATTATTTCCTTAATGTCGCTCTTTTTTTTTTTTTAAATCACCCCCTGCCCCTATTTCCACCTGTAGGAAACTATATCGCTGTGGGAAACATGACCCCCGTTATTGAAGTGTGGGACCTGGACATAGTCGACACTCTGGAGCCAGTCTTCACACTCGGGAGCAAGCCCTTGAAGAAGAAGAAGAAGAAAGGAAAGAAGGCAAGTTAGGACCAACTGAAACGCCCATGCAGTGAGGCAGGGTTACCAGCCAGGCAGCTGCTGCTGTGTTGCCTTTTGAAAAGCCCATCTGACAAAAACGGTGCTTCTGGCTGCATGAAGCATGATGTGTTCTTAAAAGAGTCAATAGCGTTATATGTTCCTAGTATGCTGGAGCGATAGTGCAAGTGGTAGGGCATTTGCCTTGCACGCAGCCAGCCGAGCCAAGTCGAGCCGGATTCGATTTCTCCACCCCTCTTGGAGAGCCCAGCAAGCTACCAAGAGTATCTCGTCCGTACGGCAAAGCCTGGCAAGCTACCCGTGATGTATTCAATATGCCAAACACAGTAACAACAAATCTCAAAATGGAGACGTTACTGGGCCCGCTCAAGCAAATCAATGAACGACGGGAGGACAGTGTTTGGACAGTATTCTTAAAACAAATTACTTGGGATATTTTCCTTTATAGATGATAGTTCTTCCCAGCGCTGGGCAAGTTTTGGATTTTAGAATTCTAGTTAGCCTTTACTTACTAGATTTAAATACATATTAGGGACCAGTACAATAGTACAGGAGTTAAGGATCCCCACCACACAGTCCCCTGAGCGCTGCCAGGAGTGAACCCTAAGTGCAGAGCTAGGAAAAAGTAAGCCCTGAGCACTGTCAGGTGTCACCCCAAACCAAGTAAATCATAAATAGCCATGTGTAAATTTCTGTAGCTCTTAAGGTTGGGGTGGGGGTTGATATTTATAAGAATATAATGCACCTAAATGGAGAACTATGGCAGTTTTTCCCCTGTAAGAATGTTTACTCAGATATCTGGGACGGAGAGAAGATGCTTCTTTAGGTCTTAGAGCACGTTTATGAGGATCAAAACAGTAATACTAAGGTTCAAAGAACTTTCAGATGCAGGTAAATGAATAGGCAGGAGGGAGTTTTCCTCGGAGAGTGATGAGTCCCTTGTTACAGAGCTCCGCCTCAGCAGAGGGGCACTCGGAGGCTGTCCTTGACCTCTCCTGGAACAGACTCGTCAGGTAAGAAGACAGCATTGTCCCAAACCTCCCCATCGTGACTCTGCTGCTGCTGGCTGACTCAACCTCCCCTATTTTCTTCTATAGCTTTTGGAGGAACATTTACAGGCCCTTTTTAAAAATGGGGTTGTTGGGGCCAGAGCAGTAGTAGAGCGGGAAGGGTGTTTGCCTTGCACATAGCCGACCTGGGTTTGATCCCCGGCATCCTCTATGGTCCCCTGAGCACCGCCAGGAATAATTCCTGAGTGCAGAGCCAGGAGTTGCTCCAGAGCATTGCCGGTGTGACCCAAAAAGCAAAAATAGTTTAAAAGGGGTGTGTGTGTTTGTTTAATCAAGTATTCATCATCTTGAGAGGGTTTTTTTTTGGCAGGGGGATGGCGTTGTTTTTGGTTTTGGCTTTTTGCATCATACTCGGCAGTGCTCGGGGATTATTTTTGGCAGTGCTTGGACCATAGGGGATGCCGGGGATCAAACGTGAGTTGGCCGTGTTCAAGGCAAACACCCTGTCTGCTATAGTATTGCCCCAGCCCCTGTCTTGAGAGCTCTTTTGTTAAATTCTTAACTATTTCATCCCCTTTGGTGCTGTTATAAATGAATTCCAATATCTAGCTCTCCTGGTTTGTAAGAGACCGCCTGATAGTTTCCTCTCTTCCCAAGAAACGTGCTTGCGAGTGCTTCCGCTGACAGCACTGTGATCCTGTGGGACATGGCCGTGGGCAAGCCAGCAGCCAGCCTTGCCGTGCACGCGGACAAGGTATGCTGACCTGTGGGGGAGGGATTCTAAAGAGCCCAGGACGCAGCCTACAAATTACCCTGGACATTTTTATATGGGTTTGTTGGATTAGCGATTTGATGGGCTGTCTAATATGGATGCTTACAGTCAATTTGTGGTACTTCCTCTTCTTAGAGATGCAGAAATGGATGTAGAGAATCAATGACTAGAAACATTAGTGCCTTGTAAGGTCTCTCGGGAGTTCAAGGAATGTAACAGATCTGGGACCACTGGGACCAGAGAAATAATAAAACGGGCAAGGGGGAGAAATTCAACAGATCTGTTACAGTATAACTCTGGAGTCTAATTGTGGGACTTCACAGAAAAACTTAGAGAAACAGTGCCACATCACAAATTAGGCCATTTTGCCCAGACCATACATTCCAGCGCTAAGTGGCACAGCTGCTGGTTGAGTTCGAGTTAGGCAAATGCATCTCTTGTACAAGCCCATTCATCTCTGCTTCCTCCTTTCAGGTACAGACTCTTCAGTTCCATCCATTTGAAGCACAGACTCTGATTTCTGGATCATACGACAAGTAAGAAGGGACTCCAAAAATGATTTCTGCTGTTTCTTTGCTCTGAAGCTAACTCAGGGGCCGGGCGTGAGGGTCAGCGGGACAGCACTAGCCTTGCGTGTGAGGTCAGGAGGCGATTCCCAGCACCACGTGCTTCTCTGAACACTGAGCCAGAAGCAGCCCAGCACATAGACAGTTGTGGCCCCAACGATACAATAAATGGACCCAAAAATGCAGCTTGCGTTGAAAGTACCACTTGGTGCTCAGAATACCGAGATGTTCCTCTGGTTTTGAATTTTCAGTCATGTTTATTATTTAGTAAAATTTTCAGTTAAGGTTCTTCGAAAACCTCTAAGTGAATGTGTATATAGTTCTACACATTCTCCCCTATAGTGTAGGGTCAGAGAGAGGACTGAAGGTGAGGCACCTCACGTATGGCCTGCCTGCCTTCCAGCACAACACAAAAAGTGCCATCTTCACACCTGATTGTCCCACAGGTCCGTAGCACTGTACGACTGCCGGAGCCCAGAGGACAGTCACCGCATGTGGCGCTTCAGCGGGCAGATCGAGAGAGTGACGTGGAATCACTTCTCGCCGTGCCATTTCCTGGTAAGAGTGCTGATGTTTTCTTTATCCACACTACCCAAGACTGATTTTAACAGGAGGACAGTTACCCACACGAGAGAAAATGTGTAAATGATTCTGCTAATGTCAGCCCTTCCGGAATTCGACGTTAGTGATGAGTTGTCATGAATCTATTGCATTGGTTTGCTTTTGTTGTCTTTCCCATGCTAAGCGTTTTGATGGTCAGAAGAGGCCTGTCGCCCCGTAGTATTGACGCAGAGCTCCTGTAATGGGAATGCTGGCCGCCGTGCTGTGGCCCCACCTCCCGGGGAGCAAGACAGTGAAAACCCTCTGGGAAAGCCCCGAGTCTGTAGCAGGACACGGCCCCGCCTCCCGGGGAGCAGGACAGTGAAGATGCTCTGTGTCTGTAGGACGGGCTTCGTGCAGCTTGCAGAGTCCACTGACATGCCCGGCCATGGACTGTCCCAGCAGGGAAGATGAAAGAGACTGTAAATATTTAGGAAAGAGATTTTGTTTGTTTGAGGACCACACCTAGCAGAACTCAGGGGCGCAGTATGTGGTTTCAGAGATTGAGCCTGGATCAGCCGCTTGGCAAGCAAGCACTGTATTTTTGCTTCACCCCTGAAGGGCTTTATTTTTTTTTCTGGGGGGCTGCTCATGGCTCTGTGTTCAGGGATCACTCCTGGCAGTCCTCAGGACCATTCATGGTGCCAGTGAACAAGCCAGCTTTGGCACCTGCAAGGCAAGCACTTTTAACGTATGTACTTTCCTCTGCCTAGAACGTGATTTCGTTCATAAATAAAGGGATTGGAAAGGGTAGGGCGCTTGCCTTGTATGTGGCCAACCCAGGTTCAATCCCCTTCGCCACATATGGCTCACCAAGCAGTGCCAGAGTGACCCCTGAGCTGGCTATCGTCCAAAAGCCCAGATCACATTCCAGTGGCTTAGTGGACACAGCAGCCGATTGAGGCCAAGGTCGGGCAGACTCATGCAGACTTTATGTCTGTTCTGTAACTTTCTAATAAGCTCCAGAGAGCACAGTATACATGGGGCTGATTTTCACTGATTGACCCCACTAACCCAGCACTAAGTTTCGTTGTGTTGCCTGATCCTGCCTGTCTTTTCCTTTTTTCAGGCCAGTACAGATGATGGTTTTGTGTATAACTTGGATGCACGTTCAGATAAGCCCATTTTTACACTTAACGCACACAATGATGAGATCTCTGGTGAGCAAGAGTAACACTGTCTTTCTGTGAACTTCCGCCGAAGCATTCCTCAGAGCGAGCCGCCCTGATCGCCTCTCCCCTTCTCTTAGGGCTTGATCTCAGCAGTCAGGTCAAGGGCTGCCTCGTCACGGCGTCAGCAGACAAGTATGTGAAGATCTGGGACATACTGGGAGACCGGCCGAGCCTGGTTCACTCCAGAGACATGAAAATGGTAAGCCTCTCCCCGGGATTCTGTTCGCTGCTCATTTCCGGCCTGGACTGTTTTGTCTTCTCTTACGAGTCTCTGCCTTGGACCTGGATAGATGGTACAGCGGGTAGGGCACTTGTCTTGTGTACAGCTGAGCTGGGTTCCATCCCCAGGACTACAGCTGCTCCCCTATCACTGCCAGGAATGACCCCTGAGCATGCCAAGTGTTGCCCAAAAAAAAGAGAGAGAGACTCTGCCTTAAAGACTCTTTGGGACCAGAAAAGTAGCTGACCGACTGCATATAGAATCCAAGTGTCACCCCCAGCTCTGCATGGTCCTTGAGCACCTCTGCATGTGGCCCAATAAACCAAAGTAAACCAAAATTTTGATTTGTTGGGGAGAATTACTTGAATTTCGTTGGGGTTTTCTCTATGACTTAGGAAAGTCCTGAAGAAAATCAGACTGTTTTACCAGGTTTGTTTTTCAACTGAAGTATTTAACCATTCATGGAAAGAACAAGGGCCTTGGCACCCCCCCCCCCCCAAAATCTCTTTATAACTCTTGGAAGCAGTTATCAATTACATTTATCATAACTAGTTCTGAGGACTCAGGGTGTCCGGCTCCAGCATGCTCAGCTTGGTGGGTGGCCTGACATGTGTGGCCCACAAACACAAGCTATAAGTTGAGCAAACAGTTGAGTGCTTGCTCTGCTCTGGGCACTGGAGGCCAGCCACAGAGCTAATGCAGAGGAGAAGGTCCTGTCCCCAGATGTGGCAGCCCCCACCCTCGATAAAGTCACAGGCACCAATCCCGAAGCTGGTGTGTGGGATGGGGGAAGCTTGGAAGGCTGAGTGCGTGTTCTGCCTGTGGGACACCCCAGATCCATCCCAGCACTGCTGGGTCTGGGCCCCCTTCCTCGAAGAGAAGAACAAGCCTGAATACACTGGGGGCCTGGGCGCTGGTCCCGGGGGTAGGGCACTTGCACGCAGCCAGCCTGAGTTCATTCCCACATATCCCATGTAGTGACCCGGATAGTCCGCGTGCACACTCGGTGCCCCTTCGCATCTGATGGGCAGGAATGTGTGTCGGTGCCTGAAATCCCTCTCTGCTCTCTCCTCCCTAGGGAGTTCTTTTCTGCTCTTCATGTTGCCCAGATTTGCCGTTTGTTTATGCTTTTGGAGGTCAGAAAGAAGGACTTCGGGTCTGGGACATCAGCACCATTTCTTCAGGTAAGAATATCCACCTGCTACATTGTCGGAGCGACTGGTGATGGGCTGAGCAGATCCAGAACTCATCTAGCCAGGACCGTGCGTGCGCATAGATTTAGAGATGGAGAGGACAGAAGTCGGAATTAGAGGAAAGGACAGGGCTGATGGGGTGTTTGCAAGGTGGGTCAGGTAAATCTAGGACATGGTGGGAGTGGGGGGGGCTAGTATTAGGGGTTAGGTGCAAGGTGGATCAGGTAAATCTAGGACATGACAGGGGTGGGGGGGACTAGTATTAGAGGTTAGGTTACCTTACATCAAACCATTCATCCCAGAAAAACAGGTCAAGACTAAGAAAGTAGGAGTGAGCAGTGAAAGCACAATAAACTTCATTCTATGCATGAGTGGACATTGCTGAATTAGTCCCTCTCTGTTCCACTAAAAACCTGCCTCAGGGCCAGGGAGATGCTCATATCTTTAGTGCTCCCCCACCCCCAACATTCCTTATTCCCATTGTCATGAACAGATTCCAAAAACATAAGATTTTTCTCCAGGGTAGAGAAACGTTCCTACCTTGTAGTGTCATTGTATGTCATAGACTTAGTCCAATGACTTCCTTCTGTTGTAGTAAGTGAAACGTTTGGAAGAAGAGAAAGGCTTGTTCTCGGCAATGCAAGAAATTCATCGGTGAGCGGCCCTTTGGGGAGCCGGAGCTCGGACGCACCGATGGAGTCGTAGCGAGATCAGTTTCACGGTGTCTTTTTCACCGCAACCCAGAGGTTCAAAAGCAGCCTGAAATATTTCGTGCAGTGACTGAAACAAATCATGGCTGTGACCTGACATTCCTCCCTGCAATATGGTGGCAGCAGAAACGAGGCCATTCTGTGTGTGTGTGATGGGAATTCACGGAGTAGAGACTCCTGCTGCCTTCTGTGAAAAGGATAAGAAATGTTTGGGGGCAGGGGAGATACTCAAAAGGCCAGAGCACATGGTTTATGTGTGGCAGCCCTGGGAATGATTCCCAACACCTCATGGTCCCCCAAGTACCTTCTGAAGCACCCTCCCGCCAAAATAAAAAGGGTTTTTGAAAAGTTATTTGACTAAGGTTGTACAGTGCTTCCTAGAGTGCTGACTGATTGCTCATGATTCAGGAGTGACTTGGGGGTCAGTGTTACCAATAAGAGGCATTATATAGTGATAAAGATTTATGCACCAAGCAAAGGAATATCTGAAGGGGAAAATAAGCAACAGATTCCATGTACTTCTCAAGAATACATGGCTGGATCATAAGTTATACCACAAACTTAGCCTTAAACCATGATGGAAATACCTGCCATCTTAGCCGGAGCTATAGCTCAGCGGTAGAAAACTTGCCTTGAAAACATGTAAAGCCCTGGATTTGATCCTGTGCACTGCAGAAAAAAAGTTAGCCTTATTTGGGGCCAGAGAATTAGTACAGTGGATAAGGCGCTTATCTCACACAGCCTACCTAGGTTTAATTCCCATCACCACATATGGTGTCCCTGAATGTTGTTAGGAATGAACTCTGAGCACTGCCAGGTATGATCCAAAAACAGAAAGTGAAAAGTAAGCATCTTTTGCAGCCAAAGTTATATGAAACTGGGAGTCAATCATAAGAAAACTTGAAAATTCACAAATATGTGGAGATTAAACAATGACTCGAAAACCCATGAGTCAAACGAAAATGTACCAAAGCTTGTGGATGAAGTAACAAGTGGTTCTAAGGAGATGTTTATAAACACCTACATCAAGGAATAGAGACCTAAAATAAGCTATAACACCTCTAAAAAGAACAGAGAGGGATCAGGGAGATGGCACAGGATAAGGTGCTTGCCTTGCATCCAGCCACCACCACATTCAGTCCTCTGAGGCCCAAAAACAGATGAAAAGAAACAGCTCCAAGTTAGAAGCTAAAGGTCAAAGGAGAATTGGAGACTACTTTTTGTTTTGGGATCACACCGAGCAATGCTCAGGGCTTACTCCTGGCGCTGCACTCAGGAATTATTCCTGGAGATGTTCAGGGGACCATACAAGATGCCGGGTTTTATAGTCTCTGAGACTATAAAACCCAGCTCCCGGAAGCGCGCAGCCGCTTTCACGGCCGCACGACATCTTATCTCATTCCTACTTTGGACAAACTGGCAGGCTACCGAATGTAACCTGCCCACACGGCAGAGTCTGGCAAACTCCCCGTGGCGTACCCAGTATGCCAAATACCAGTAACAATGAAGGGTCTCATTCTCCTAACTCTGAAAGAGCCTTGAATATGGCACTTTAAAAAAAAAAAAAATCTCAGGGCTAGGACGAAGGAGACATTACTGGGGCCTGCTCGAGGCAGTCAACGAATAACAGGATTTTTGTGATTTTGTGATTTGTGATACAGGATGCCAGGAATCGAACCCAGTTTAGCTGTGTGCAAGGCAAATGCCTTACCCGTTGTGCTATTGCTCTAGCCCCTGAAAAGATCAGTTTTTAAAATTACACGCCTTTAAGAGAAAGGAATCAAAGTTGATATTATAATACCACAGAAATAACAAAAGATTGTAGGAGACTACAGTTACAGACTACCAAATTAAATATCCTGGGAAAAGCACATAAATTCCTAGAAACAGCTACCGATCTTGACCTAGAAAATCAGAGCAGATTCAGAAAAAGACTGGATCAGTATTTTAAAAATTATAAACCAAAGCCCAAAACTGGACAGCGTCACTGGTGAATTCTGACCAGCCACGGAACAAATGCCAGTCCTTCCTAACTCTTCCCCCAAAGTTGGGTGATCTCCAAACTCGTTATATTAGACCATTATTATTCTGATGCCAGTATGAGACAAAGACTCATTATATATGCAATCTTTTTTCTCCACCCACAAGTCCAATATCAACTGGAAATACTCTGTCATGCCTATTTATACGTATAACCAACTGAACACAGCTTAGCAAACCCAACCTTCAGTACACTCAGATACCTTCTATTTGCATACCGTTGGGCAAAAGAACAAAGTGTTCTCTCATTTTTCATATCAAAGTAAAAAACTTGTAAGACGGGTTTTTACCATGACTTTTTTCCTAGTCAACAGTAGCATGCTGTAGCTGTCTGCTCTTAAGAATTCCCTGCAGTAAAGCTCATCGTTTCAGCCTTGATGGGGTATGGCTGACAATAGCAAACACCTCTCCCGTATCACTGCATGAATGTTTCTTGATGTCTCAGGTATAACTTCTTCCCATTCTCAAGGTTCTGTTTGCTTGTGGAACTGTTTGATCAGTTCCTCATCCACAAACCTCTTCAGCCTCACGCTCAGTGATGGTCGTCATCGCTCTGCCTCAGGTAGTCTCCCAGGCAGCTGCACCTTGTAAACTTAATCAGCAGCAGGGTCTCTGTTAGAGCTGATGAAGGCCTTCAGAACTTCCATCTGCCGTTCACGCACCAGTTGCTAACTCCTTCCCAAGCTGCAAGGACCTTCCAGGCAGCATTTACAGCATCGGGGAGAGATAGTATAGTGGGTTGGGCACTTGCCTTGCATGCGGCTGAGTTGGTGTCCCTGGCACTGCATATGATACTCCAAATTCCTCCAGGAGTGATCCCCAAGCGTAGCTGGGTGTGACCCAGAAACAAACTTTAAAAGAGTATTAAAACATTTCCAAAATTCTGAGCATTCAGCCATATTTGTCCACTTCAGCAGCCCACACAACTGTTTGCTGTAAATAGTATGCTGTACACGTAACTACTGTGCCTGGGCCTTCGGGTAAGTGCTCGGTGGTGCTGAGGAACAAGTACAGCCTTTACGTGGGAGGCAAGGCACTGGGTACCTTGGAGCTTTATCCTTGTTTTGGGGGCCACAGCCAGCCGTTCTCAAGGCTTCTTCCTGGTTCTGTGCTCAGGGGTCACTGCTCGCAGTACGGAGGAATTGAATCCAGCTGGGCCACAGATAGCACAAGTGTCCTGCTCTCTGTAGTGTTCCTCCAGCCCAGAGCAATCTTAAGGTCAAAGAGTTCTTTTAGGAGGCTGGAGTGATAGGACAGCAGGGAGGGTGTTTGCCTTGCACGCTGCTGGGTTCAATCCCTGGCATCCCATATGGTCCCCTGAGCACTGCCAGGAGTGATTCCTGAGTGCAGAGCCAGGAGTAACACCCTGTGCATTGCTGCATGTGAACCAAAAGGCAAAAAAAATTCTTTTTGGGGTCCATACCCAGCTGCCTGAGGGTTGTTCCCAGCTCTGTGCTCAGGGGGCACTCTGGGCCATGTCAAGGGGACCAGGTGTCCAGGATGGACAAGTCTGCAGTGCACTGTTGTTTGACCAGCAATTTTCTCTTGCTGGGAGAATAAGAGTTCAGAAGCCAGTCTTGGAACCATGCTAATGGCAGCCAGGCCTGTTATCACAATTATAAATTAATCATTCTGGAATGCTCTTGGATCCAAGAAAGGCTGGATTTCAAGCCTGTCCCATTTCCACCCAAAAGCAGTAGCACCATCTGGCCTGTGCTTGGAATCCGCGTGTTGACTTGGACCTCTCACGACTGTCTGTGTGCTCTGCCGTATATACATCCAGAACAGAGCTTATCTCACTGGCACTATCTGTTAAAGCAAATGCCCCTGAGCCAAGGGTCTCCTGCACACTTTCTGGGGAGTTTCAGTAGCGTGAGGAGTCACAACTGCAGCCTCACAGTTCCTTGGTGGCAGAGACGTCTCTGGAAGTGCAGGTCTGCTCCTGTACAGAAATACTTCCTGCATCATGAGAAGGTCCCTTCCTTTCGCCTGACTCATGGGGACACTAGCTCCTGTGCAGTAAGCAAGGCCATGTCCGTTCTCTGCCCATCTTCCAACCACGGGACAAACCATTTTTCATTATCAAGCTGCAGAGATCTTTGTGATGGGAGGGAGTTAAGCAATGCCAAGAGCCTCAGTGCACTGCCGGTTTGCACGTTCTCTCACAACGGAGGCCATTGCCTGCAGAAGCTCCCAGCCGTGACCAGCTCGCTGACCTCATGCCATCCTCATCGGAAGATCCGGGTGGGCCTTTTGTAAACAGGAGGGGATGTGAAGCCTGGTGTAAAGTGAGCAGCACGGTGATGGCTGTGGCTCACTACCCAGCAGCCTCGCAGATGGAACTACAGGTTGTTAGCCCAGGAAAAGAGCAAAACCTGAAGAATTCTACAGCAAGACTAATCAGTTTCACACCATGTAAAGTCAAACCATCCATCAGGGGCTGTCGGCATGTAAACAAGACTCTACACTCTGGTCAAGTAGCACCGATTCCTGGGTAACACAGTCAACAAAACAAAACAATCTTGTGGTATGTGTCAAGTTGGCTGAAAGCATTCAGCAAAACAGTAACACAAGGGCTGGAGTAATAGCACAATGGGTAGGGCAACCGCCTTGCAAGCAGCCAGCCCGGGTTCGATTCCCAGCATCCCATATGATCCCCTGAGCACCACCAGGGGTAATTCCTGAGTGCACAAGTAACCCCTGTGCATTGCAAAAAAAAAAAAAAAAAGTAACAATAAAATATTTTAAAAATAATAGGATTGATTGGCAGAGTTCCAGTCGGGATGGTGCTTGGAGAGGGACGGCAGCTCAGTGCTCTGAACAGCCCATGTCTCATAACGTTTCTGAGTGAATGTTGATGCCCCTTGGATATTCTGTCTAGGTCGCCCACGCAGAGCACAACCCAGAATGGGACTCATGAGGGTGGCGGAAGTGCAGCAGAGTTCTAACATGTCTAACTTGGACTCACTGTGGAGTGCAGGTCCCACCTTGGGGCCCTGGCAATTCACCATGAGTGGGATGGTCCTGCCGCCATTTCTTCCCTGGACCAGCCTGCACCACCTGTGGAGGAAAATCTCCCTGAGCGCCAAATGCCTGGAGACCCAGGATGAGGGCGTGTGCCCGCTGGTCAGGCTTTGCTGGACTGGTGGCTGCAGCCCTGACCCTGGTTCTGGTCCCTGCCAAGGTGGCTGCTTCCACCAACACTGGGGCCCAGGGGGCGTGGCACTCAGCAGGTCAACCTGCAAGGCGAATGCATCAGCAGCCTTATGGTGCCTTTAGGCTTCCTGGTACCCCAAA